GAGAAACCGGATGGGGATCGATCGATCGTACGAACACACAAGCAGGTGCAAGTAGACGTACGTGTAAAAAGGGGGAAAGGTGTGAGATCGAGTGCATTTGTCGTTTGGAATCCGCCGGTGAAACTGGCGAGCACATTTTTTTCGGCGGTGATGGCGCCGCCAGGGCAACGATAACCGACAGTGGCAACAAGTTACACGCACGATAACCTCGTGGTAACTCGCGCATGAGGTCGCATCGGGGAGCGGCACGCTTTCCTCCTGCACGGCCGACTTCGTGGCATTTATATTTAGATTATCAATGGCCTGTGGGCTACCAGGAAACACGGCAACGTTCAGAAGAATTTCGACCGTTCCTGGATTCGACTGATTCTGATTGCGTGCGTTTTTTTTTTTTTTTTCGTTTTCACCCCCCTCACCCTCCCCCGGAAAGCTGTTTTTCCTCTCGCAGTTTCGTACTTCGCAGTTTCCTCGATTATCAGTAGTCAATGACGGAGGACGCACTGTCAGCGAAGACTCGGCTGGAATGATCGTTAAACAACAATACGGAAATTCCGCTGAGAAGCGGAAACAAGCGTGCGCGTGCTCCGCACGATGCGTGCGTTCTTTCTTTTCTTTTCCAAAGGAAAAAACAGTGGAAAAACAGATATCTCAGTCCTATTTTTAGACGAAGATTACGTTCTGGTGCACCGATTCCAATAGAAAACAAGTTATTTATTTTCAAGACTGAGCAATCCCGATCGATATTTTTAGTAAATGAACCGTTAGATATCGAGCCGTTTTTATCTTCGCAGGCTACAGGCATCTTCTAATTATGACCTATGAGTTACTGAAAGTCAGTCGGTTCTTTTTTTTCTTTTTTGTTTTTTTTTCTTTCTTTCTTTCCCTTCGGAGAGTCTAGAAATATTCCGAACTGACCTTTCAGGTGAATGTCTCGCAACCTTCGCAAGAACAAGCCACTACAGGCAATTAAAGAACCAGGATTTTCAAATCATAATCATAAACCGACGTTTCATCTCGTCTTTTCAATCAAGTTTCACATGATTCTGATCCGCCGTAAATTATAGCTGTCGTAGTATATTCATACTTGTGGCTAAATGGTCCCGGTTTAGCTCCATTTGTACATATGTGTGTGTAACATTCGCTCATCCTCTCGGTAATATATTTCCCTCGAGTTATCAATTATCTCCGAGTCGTTTTTCCTGAGTTTTACAAAAAAAAAAAAAAAAAAAAAAATACCACCAATATATAAATATATAT